AAGTGTGTATGGTAGTGAAACGAAGTGTGCATGATTCATATAATTTAGAATTAACAATGGCATTGCGATAGTGTTGACGTGGTGAACATGTCCTTTACGAATTACATTAATTGGGAACCCTAATTCTGAGGAACAGATTAACAAGGATTATGCAATGGAATAACATGCGAGTATGAATCCGGAACATACATTTATATAGCACGATGCACACAGTAATATGGTATCATGCACACATGGTCGTCCTAAGTATCGATGATTACGCAAACGGCTAACTTAGTGCACTACACCACTGCAGAAATATGGTGATGCACAACCCCATGCACACACGAGAAAACCTTAATGAGATTAGAAATTTATACGTCCATTACTGCTTATTTGGCCAGACGTACATTTTAAACGTCCATGAAGTATCCTAAACTAGTTGAATAATTTATATGTCTATTACAACTTATATGGTCATGTGTGCAATTATTATTTCATATGGTCAACTAGTTTCAGGTGAAGATTACTATGGAAGCAGTATAGAAGAATGTGTAATGAAAATAGGCAAGGACGGATCGAAATACTGGAGACCCAAACATGCACACACCACCCACCAAAAGAATTAACTATTCTTTTTGTTTACATTTATCAAACCAGTTTGATTGAATAGCACATTATTTATTCAATGGCACAATAATGTTCGTTTAGATGTATTAAAACAGTTTTAATAGCACACGATTTATTCAGAAGCACAGTAATAATATGCGAGTTTCAGATTTTATGAATACCGTGCATACTAAAACAATGTACCCTGCACATAATTTAGTAATATGGTGCACACTAGATATGATCACACAGTAATATGCGAGTATTAGATTTTATGAATACCATGGTTGCAGTAGGCGCTAGGCGCTAGTCGGGCGCCCGGGCAGCGCCTAGGCGGAATCTAGGCGGCGCTAGGCGGGCGCCAAAAAAACAGTGGTAGACTTGCAGTTTGACAATTTTAATGAAGTTGTTTTCAACATTTAGTCAAATAACACATCCAAATAAATGAATTAATGATAATTCATAAGTCATAACATCAAAACTATGGTTTTCAAAAAAAAAAAATTATATATATATAAATGAAAAAAATTAGCAAGGTCAAGTCGGCCGGGTTAACTCGGCTAACTCGACAGAAATTGACGAGTAAACTTGGTGTAATCGGCCGAGTTAGGCGCTAGGCGGCCGAATTAGGCGCTAGGCGGGCGCTTAGGCGGCCGGTCACCTAGGCGGGAGCCTAGGGGGGAAATCGCCACGGCTTAGGGGCGCCTAGCGCCTAGGCGGCGATTACTCGGTGCCTAGGTTGGATTTTTGCAACCCTGATGAATACCGTGCACACTAAAACCAAGTAACGTGCAAATGGTTTAGTAATACGGTCCAAACTAGAAGCGATAGCACAGTAATATGTGAGTACCGGATTTTATGAATACCGTGCACACTAAATACAAGTACCATGCACATGGTTTAGTAACACGGTGCACACTAGACTGTTTAACGAACTGAATAGTAAATGGATAACATAAATGCTACAGACTGCAGATAATATGTATACCGCCACCTAGGTACGCGGGTAAAACACAATATGTCCCTCGTGCACAAATACAGATGCACCGGCCGGCACGTGAATTGCAACATTCGAAGCACAAAAGCTATACGCACACACCTACATGCGTCTGTGCACACATGGATTGAAAAAAACTAATACACGACTAAGATATAATAAACACAGCAAGCACACCAAACATTGAACCCACGAACATAGGTTCAAAAGTAATAAATACTAACAACAGTATTTGGACAAAAAAAACAGTTAGTGCCAAAAAAGTACTATGAGCACAGTATAAAGTAGTCATGTGCACATTACAAGGACCACCCAAAAAGACCATAGTAGATCAAACACACGTCTACAGAGATGGAAGAGGACCAGAGATAGACGGGTAGGCACGAGACAAGTTTCGTAGTCTGTGCACATTGAACTCAGACATTGCATGCTAGATCCTTCATGTAACACATTTTTAGATTATGCAACACCGTAGTGTCCCCCTTAACAAGGCCACAATCCAAATCCGAGACCCGCAGTCCTACATAGGACTCCATGTGACGCAACACCTTGGACCTCTGGCCTGGAAAGAAAACAATAACATCCATGCAAACATGTAAGCCAAAACATGCGATCTAATGACCACACACAACAGAACCCCAAAAATAAATGAAACGCAGGCAAAAGTACTACACCAAAGAACCGAGCACACAACATGACCCAAACATGCACACACCACCCACAAAATGGGGCAACATTGAGGACCCAACACTAAATTGATTGGGTAAAAAGGTAACCATACCAAACCCATGCACACACCACCCACAATTGCAACAACATTGAGAACCTAACAATAACAATAAATTGATCGAGTAAAATGTGAGCACACACCCCAACCAATATTACCTCTATATAATTATGAATTATTACATGAAATTAACCTAATCACAATTGTAAGTTCATCACAAATTAAATGCTTAAAATATTATTTTCATGTGCAGTATTATTTCTATATGCGGATAATACAAGTTCTATGTATTTTGGTCCTTGATGCAACATGTACCATATGTCCATATTCCATGATATACTTTGCCTTTTAACATCATGAGTTACTGGCAATTTTTTTTTTTTTAAATAACTTCTTTAAAATGAAAAAATATTAGAGAGATAAAATTTAATCAACCAAGCACAATTAGATAGAGACTAAGTGCGAACACCTCACAAGCAAAACCTAAAATTCGAGATTAAACAAAGAAAAAAAAAAAGCACAGCATGATTAACGACACTCTGAAACAGACTGCACCTTGCATACACAGAATTTCCGGCCACAATCCAAAAAAAAAAAAAAAACAAAAAAACCCAAATATTCGGGATTAAACAAAGAAAAAAAAATGCCCAGTTAAAATGACAAAACAAACACAAAGCCCCCCACAAAGAAGACAAAAATTGCACAAAACACAAGAACCCACCCAAAAAAAGAATGAGGAAAATAGACTGTTTAAGTACCTCGGCCGATAGCTCCAACCGGTGGTCCCCACCTCTTCGATGTACCGCGGTCCCCATCGACTACCGTTGCTATGTGGAAGTGAAGAATGAAGGAGGGATTGGTGAAGACGACGCGAATGGCGAACGCCTTCTACGCACGGAGAGAGAGACGAACGAGGGGAGGATAGAAAGTCCGGTCGTGCGCGTGAAACTGCTCCTGAAGGAATAATTTGACTAGGTTACAATCTTCAGCAAAATACCACAAATACCCCCCTAAACATAAAAACTAAATAAACTTACTGTATAAACACAATGACCGGACGCTTCAATCAAGACCATCCAACGGTCCCTATTAATCCTCACGTTTGTATTTTAAGGTGTGTTTTTACATGAATATAATCCTATATAGGTATATATATATATATATATATATATATATATATATATATATATATATATATATATATATATATATATATATATATATATATATATATATATATATATATATATATATATATATAGATTTTGATCCGGTGCACACCCCCTAGTCAGCCGAGCCCGTGAGCACACTCCATGATCGTTGATTTTAATTTTTTGACGATTCTGATTGATTACCACTTGGATCCCAGTTATATGGATTTTAGATGAAGCAGGGGTCTTTTTGTCCTTAAGCACTGATGGGGTGAGAACCCCGGCCCAAGAAAAGAGGCCCAGAAAGGAAAGACCAAAGGAGAAAGAATGGGCTGACGCAAGGCAGGCTCGGAGAATGCATGTGCCGAGTCCAGGACTCGGTCCAGGCCCAAAGAGGAAGGCCCAGTTCAGAGCCAGGAAGGACGGCCCAGTCCGAATGCCAACTAGAGACGAGGAGTCGGTCCAGCCCCCAGCCTAAGGAGAGACTCGGTTCAGAGAGCCGTTGAGAGAGCCTTCAGAGCAGTCAAGGCAAGGAGCCATTGAGGCATTAAAAGCAGGACTCGGTCCGCCGGTTACTGGCCAGAGAGAGCCGTTGGCAGAGTCTGTAACGTCGCCCAACGGCTCGGCGCATTGAATGTAATTTTTAAGTCGGCTATCATGAGCCTTTAAGCCAGTAGAGGAGGAGCCACTATAAAAAGGCTCCTCCACCCCTTGTAAGAGACAGATTCGAGAACCCGGAAAGGGAATAGAGAGCATTATTGAGCATCATATTTTCACTAACATCGAGACTTTTTGTGAAAGGTGTATCCTCCAGCTTAAGGTTGTGTTGGACCTCCTTGGGCCCGAAAACCCAAAAACCATCACTGGCGCCGTCTGTGGGGATCGAAACAAAGAGTCGCGTGCCTTCTGAGCGAAGCGAGTCGGAGAAATCATCAAGGAGAGTCTTGGTCGCAAGAAATTGAAAGACTTTACCATGACAGGAAGCCAAGACCAATTGAGCCAACGCAATGGGCTAGGTGCCGACCTAAGAGATCAGTTGAATCGAAGAAGCACCCGAAGCCGGGAAGACGACGCAACACCGCCACCGACACCTCAGATAAATCCACAGCCGACTGCGGTACCGCTCACCCCAGATCAGCTACACGCAATTGGACGCGCTTTCGCCGAGGCAAGTCGGGGAATACGGGAGCAATCCGCCACTCGGATACCGCAACAAGACCCCCCACCGCCACGAAGGCCGGACAATCGACAATCAACCCGCCGGGCGGTGAGTCAACCTGTCCAGTCCGTTCATTCTCGGCTAGGCCCTGGTGTCGAGCGACGGTCAACGAGAGAACGGCTGGGGCGAAGAGAACCCCTCCGCGCTCCGGTAGAAACTCACGGTCGGCAGAGCGCACGTGAGCGTAACCGTGCGGGGAAAGGCCGGACAGTGGCTCGCCGCGTGGAGCAGCCCACCCGAGACCATGACCAACCCGCCGAGTCGGAGGTCGGCGAGAGCGCGGAATCGACAGGAAACCACACCCAAGAGAGGGTCGAAATGGCAAATCTCGCCCAAGAGGTAAGAAATTTGAAAGAACAGGTAGAAGGGAGAACCAAGGCCCCCGGCCGAGCGCTACTGACCTCGTTACCCTTCTCCGCCGAGATCATGGCCTTCAAAATACCGGGCGACTTCAAGTTCCCGGAACAAGCCACGTTCGACGGATCAGGCGACCCGCGGGAACATCTACTGAGTTACCAGGCCAAAATGCAGGTCTTGGGGGTATGGGACCCGGTCATGTGCCGTGCCTTCCTACCCACGTTAAAAGGGGCCGCGCAAAGGTGGCTTGTAAGACAACCCCCGGGGTCGATTCACAGCTTCGAAGAGCTGGCGGACCGCTTCATGAGCCACTACGCCGCTAACATCAAGCCACAGAAGGACCTGACTCACTTGGGCGACATCCATCAGGATGAGGGCGAGTCCTTAAAAGCCTATCTAGCCCGCTGGCAAAAGGAGATCCAGTCGATAGAAGAAGTGGAGGACCAAACAGCACTCACCTTCTTCATTGAATCTTTGCGGTCCGGACAGCTATACCGGGACCTGAGGGACAACCGCCCGGCGACATATGCGGAAGCTATCCAGATGGCCAACAAGATAGCAAACACGGAACAGGCTATGAAACACAAACGACAACGCGAGGTCGGTGGGTCTGCTAGTGGAAAGAGGACGCGGGCCGAGACAAGAGAAAGACGTTCAGACGTAGCTCGGCGACCCGAGGCCAGGCGACCGTACGACCGCCCCGTCGTCCACACTTATCGACCGGCTCCAGAGCGGCCGGTCCATGAGGTACAAGCGGTCGCCCCGCCTCTACCTCCGCCGATTGACGATCGTGCAGCGAACGAGGATGCTGGTAAGACTTCTAAATATTGTCGCTATCATAAATCTTACACTCACAGCACGGAAGAATGCTTCTACCTAAAGAAGATCATGGAGGGGATCATCCAGCAAGGGACTCCGCCTCCTAACCAATGGAAGCGAAGGTCGACCAATCGAGGAGACGAGGGGCCTTCCGCCGACGCAGAAAATAGCCGAGGCAAGCAGCCAGCTTCCGAGGAGGACGAAGCCCAATGGCGCCAGAAGCCAGTCATTAACATGATAGTCGGCGGACCAGAGGGCGGAGATTCCGCAAATACCCGAAAAGCCTGGGCTTGGCAACTATATGTCGAAACGGTCTACGGCCGAGAGGAGAGCTCCAAAAAGATATGCCGGGAGCCCATCGTGTTCACCGATAAAGACCTGCCAGCCGGGGAAACCCCGCATCGAGACGCGTTGGTCATCGCCATGGACATCAACGGTGTAGTTGTCCGCCGGATCCTGGTCGACACCGGGAGTAGTGTCAACGTACTGTACTTAGAGACCTTTACCAAGATGGGGCTGACCCGAGAACAGCTCAGACCGGTGAACACCCCTCTCGCCGGCTTCACCGGGGACTCGGTGGAGGCGGAAGGATCCATCACTCTTCCTGTGGAGATCGGCAGCTACCCGGACGTACAGAAGTTGAGCATGAAATTCATCGTGGTCGATCTAGCCTACTCGCACAACGCCATACTCGGCCGCCCGGGTCTAGAAGACCTCGGAGCTTTGATCTCAATCGAACATCTATGCCTAAAGTTTCGCACGCCGAACGGAATAGGAACGGTGCGTTGTGACCGCAAGGTCGCCCGCGACTGCTATCTACAAGCATGTAGAGGAATGGGCAAGCGTGGGATGCAGGTCCATGAGATCACCGAGAGGCCCCCTAAGAAAACAGTGATACCTCGCCCAGAGCCGGCCGTCGAGCTAGAGGAAATCGAGATTGACCCAGCACAGCCGAGCAGGCGAGTAAGAATTGGAGTCGGCCTTCCGGAGAAGTTAAAAGGGGAAATCATGAAAGTGCTCCAGGAGCACCGACTGGTTTTCGCTTGGGGCCCCGAAGATATGCCCGGCGTGGATCGATCGGTCATATCACATCGACTCGCCGTAGACCCAGAGCATCGGCCGGTCGTGCAGAAGAAACGATACTTGGCCAACGACCGGAGGGAGTTCGTGAAAAAAGAAGTCAGCACGTTGTTAGCAGCCGGACACGTCCATGAGGTTAAGTACCCGGAATGGTTGGCCAACGTGGTCCTTGTACCCAAGCCCCCGGCATGGCGGATGTGTGTAGACTACACTGATCTTAATAAAGCCTGCCCAAAAGACCCGTTTCCTCTGCCCCGAATTGACCAGCTAGTCGACGAAACGACCGGGTCTGCGCTTCTCAGTTTTATGGATGCCTTCCGAGGATACCACCAAATATTCATGCACCCGGCGGACGAAGAGAAGACCGCTTTCCTGACTCCGGACGGAGTTTACTGCTATCGAGTCATGCCATTCGGACTCAAAAACGCCGGAGCTACATACACTCGATTGGTTGCCCGACTGTTCCACCACCTGCTAGGAAAGTCGATGGCCGCGTACGTCGACGACATGCTCGTCAAGAGTCGAGAGGAGGACAAGCACGCGGAAGATCTAGCCGACTGCTTTAAGGTAATGATAAAGTACAACCTCAGGCTGAACCCCAAGAAGTGTGCGTTCGCCGTCCAGGGTGGTAAGTTCTTGGGTTACATGGTCACCAAGCGAGGCATCGAGCCTAATCCGGAGAAAGTACAGGCCATCCTTGACATGCAACCTCCTACTACCGTCAAGGACTTGCAACGCTTGACAGGACGCTTGGCGGCTCTTAGCCGCTTCCTTAGCAAATCAGCGGATAAAACCGTGCCCTTCTTCGAAGCCATGAAGAAGAAGGAGGGATTCGCCTGGACTACCGAATGCCAGCAGTCGTTCGAGGAATTAAAACAATATCTGTCGACTCCCCCAGTACTATCTACCCCCCAGGAGGGCGAGCCCTTACTCTTGTACCTCGCCGCCTCGGCCAAGGCGGTAAGCTCGGTGTTGGTTCGAGAGGAGGACCGAGTCCAGCACCCGGTTTACTACGTAAGCCGCTCGTTGAAGGCTGCTGAGACGCGGTACACCACCCTGAAAAAGATCGTGTATGCCTTGGTAGTCACCGTGCGTAAGCTAGCACCCTACTTCCAAGCTCATACCGTCCGGGTCTTGACGGATCAGCCACTCGGGAGTGTGCTGCGGAACCCCTTGTCCTCCGGCCGATTGGTAAAGTGGGCCGTCGAGTTGACTCAGTACGGGATCGAGTACCAACCCAGGCCCTCCATCAAAGGCCAGGCTTTGGCCGACTTCCTGGTCGAATGTACCGCGAGTGAGGAAGAGAAGGACCACGCCTCGGAGAGCAATCCGGGCGAGTGGTGGGAGATGCACGCGGATGGAGCATCGAGTCGACAGCACTACGGAGGCGGTGTCATGCTTATCTCTCCGGAGGGATTCCAGCTGTATTATGCCCTGAGATACCTGTTCTCTACATCAAATAACGAGGCCGAATACGAAGCAGTATTGAACGGCCTCCGTCTCGCCAAAGATCTAGGAGTCGAACGGCTGCGAATCAAAACCTACTCCCGACTGGTAGTCGGACAGATCTCGGGTACGTGCGAAGCTAAGAACGCGAGAATGGCGTTATACAAAGAATGTGCCACCAAGATGTTGAAAGGACTTGAAGCCTATGAAATAGAGTACATATCCCGGGCGGACAATGTAGAGGCCGACATCTTGTCCAAAATCGCCCTGGAAGGGGTGCCGGATCACTTAATAAGGATTTGCCAGAAGGAAGAACTGAGTCGGCCGAGTATCGACGGGGCGCCGCTAGAGGTCCAGCAAGTAAGCATCGAAGGGTGGGATCGAGATAAAAACCCTGAGATGTTCTGGATCGACGACATACAACGATTTAAGGAAACGGGCGAGTTGCCAACTGACCCGGCAGTCGCCGCAAGGGTTCGACGAAAAGCCCCCTCATTCCGGATCATCGACGGGCATCTATATAAACAGTCGTTTGGGGGGCCCTTGTTGAAATGCCTACTTAGGCCTGAGGCCGAGAAAGTGATGGATGAAGCTCATAGAGGCATTTGTGTTGCGCACCAGGGTGCTCACACGCTCGCCCGAAAGTTGGTCGTTCAAAGGTATTACTGGCCGACCATGATGCGGGACTGTATTGAACGGATGTCCAAATGCGGTGTTTGCCAGGCATTCGCCAGGAAAGACACTCGGCCGGCCACCTTCTATACACCGGTCACCACTGCTATTCCTTTCGCCAAGTGGGGAATAGACTTATTGGGACCCCTACCCGTCGCCCCGGGAGGATTAAAGTTTTGCGTCGTGGCCATCAACTACTTTACCAAGTGGGTTGAGGCAGAACCTCTGGCTACCATCACCGAGTACCAGTGTCGACGCTTTCTGTGGAAAAGGGTGATCTGTCGCTTCGGGTTGCCCGAACACATCGTCAGCGATAACGGGCGACAGTTTGACTGCCAGGCATTCGCCGATTTCTGTCGCCGACACGGTATCAAGCATACCAAGGTGTCGGTAGCCTACCCCCAAGCAAATGGGCAGGTCGAAAATGTGAATCGAACATTGGTCGACGGAATCCGGAAGAAACTCGAGGACGTCCGAGGAAACTGGGCAGACGAGCTTGATCGAGTCCTATGGGCTTATCGCACTACCCAGCGGCGAGCGACGGGAGAGAGTCCGTTCTCGCTCGCGTACGGCTTTGAGGCCAAGGTTCCAGTCGAAGTGGTCGAACCCACCCATCGGGTTCGCACTTACTCGGACGCAGCGAATGAAGAAAACCTGCAGATTGAGAAAAATTTTCTAGAAGAAAGAAGGGAAGCCGCGAGTGCCCGAATGGTTGAGTACCAGCAGGCGGTGAAAAGATACCGCGATCGTAGAACTCGCCCGAGAACCTTCCAGGTTGGCGACCTAGTGCTGCGGGATCGACAAGCCAGCCAGCCTACCGAAGGAGGCAAGCTCGCGGTCAAGTGGGAAGGGCCATACCGCATCGCGGCTGTTGTCCAGGCCGGAACTTATAAATTAGAGACTATGGAAGGCAAGCTCATAGATCGCATATGGAATGCTACTCACTTGAAAAGGTTCTATCAGTAGCCAATGATAGGTCATGTATGAGCCCGAGGATTCCAAGAAATCTGAATAAAGTGCATGGGTTACAGCCAATCGTCCCAGGGACTCGGCAAGTATATATAGAAACGCCGGGGCACTGACCCTGAACCGTTTCTGAGAACAGAAAAAGCCTAAAGGGTCGCCTCGACTGAGGGACTCGGTGAGAGAAAGTTAGGAAACAAGGGCCCAGACCCTTAGTCGTTTCCGTGAAAAAAGCCAAAAGGAGTCGCCTCGAGAGAGAGACTCGGCAAGTATATATAGAAACGCCGGGGCACTGACCCTGAACAGTTTCTGAGAACAGAAAAAGCCTAAAGGGTCGCCTCGACTGAGGGGCTCGGCGAGAGAAAGTTAGGAAACAAGGGCCCAGACCCTTAGTCGTTTCCGTGAAAAAGCCAAAAGGAGTCGCCTCGAGAGAGAGACTCGGCAAGTATATATAGAAACGCCGGGGCACTGACCCTGAACCGTTTCTGAGAACAGAAAAAGCCTAAAGGGTCGCCTCGACTGAGGGACTCGGCGAGAGAAAGTTAGGAATTAAGGGCCCAGACCCTTAGTCGTTTCCGTGAAAAAAGCCAAAAGGAGTCGCCTCGAGAGAGAGACTCGGCAAGTATATATAGAAACGCCAGGGCACTGACCCTGAACCGTTTCTGAGAACAGAAAAAGCCTAAAGGGTCGCCTCGACTGAGGGACTCGGCGAGAGAAAGTTAGGAAACAAGGGCCCAGACCCTTAGTCGTTTCCGTGAAAAAGCCAAAAGGAGTCGCCTCGAGAGAGAGACTCGGCAAGTATATATAGAAACGCCGGGGCACTGACCCTGAACCGTTTCTGAGAACAGAAAAAGCCTAAAGGGTCACCTCGACTGAGGGACTCGGCGAGAGAAAGTTAGGAAACAAGGGCCCAGACCCTTAGTCGTTTCCGTGAAAAAGCCAAAAGGAGTCGCCTCGAGAGAGAGACTCGGCAAGTATATATAGAAACGCCGGGGCACTGACCCTGAACCGTTTCTGAGAACAGAAAAAGCCTAAAGGGTCTCCTCGACTAAGGGACTCGGCGAGAGAAAGTTAGGAAACAAGGGCCCAGACCCTTAGTCGTTTTCGTGAAAAAGCCAAAAGGAGTCGCCTCGAGAGAGAGACTCGGCAAGTATATATAGAAACGCCGGGGCACTGACCCTGAACCGTTTCTGAGAACAGAAAAGCCTAAAGGGTCGCCTCGACTGAGGGACTCGGCGAGAGAAAGCTAGGAAACAAGGGCCCAAACCCTTAGTCGTTTCCAAGAGAAAAGTAGGAAGGAGTCGCCTCGACTGAGGGACTCGGCGAGAGAAAGCCAGGGGACAAGGGTCCAAGCCCTTAGTCGTTTCTGAGAAGGTAACTGCGTAAAGAGTCGCCTCGACTGAGGGACTCGGCGAGAAAGAATGAGGGCTAGCTGGGTTCGAAGCATTAGAAGAAAGCAAAATATTAAAAAGAGCTCCAAGACAAAATTGCAAGAGAAGAGGAAGGAAAACGCTTTCATTAAAATAAGGCCGACAAGGAGGCCAGCCTTTACAAAAGATAGGATCTATTCTAAAAGACCCTAAGCTACGGGGGAGGGGGTGTCGACGGCGACCCCTTCAACTTGCGCCCCTGCCGATGGTCCAGCTAGGGGAACAGAAGAAGGGTCCTCCGCCTGAGGAGAGGACTCGGTGAGCTCTGGAGGCGTCACCACAGGAAGAGTCGCCGGCTCAATAGGAGCAGCCGGCCCATCAGCGTCCAGCACCGGCTTGAGGCACCAGCTCTCGGGAGTGAACGCGGAGTCGCGGGCCAGCAGAGTGGCGTGAATCTCTGTCTACGCCTCGCGGAAGCCCAGACGGTAGTCCCGCTCGCCCAGGTCCAAGAGGAAATCATCACCCTCCGGAGTCGCCAGCCACTCCTTGGCCACCTCTTTCCTCCGAGCTGCCACCGCCGCCTGCACGTCCGCCTCGAAGGCCGCTGACTTCTTGTAATCTTCAACAGAAGTCGCGGCGATCGTGGCCGCCTTATCCCTCTCCTCCTCCCACTGACGGGTTACCCTCAGCAGCTCGGCGTTGTGCACCTCCACCATCTTGAGTTGCTTCGCCTGCTCTTCCAGGAAAGCTTCCTCCGTCTGGCGCAGCTTGGCGACCATGGCTCGCATGTCATTCCTAAAGCCTTGGAACCGATTGCCCAGTTCCATCTGGAGGGTGAGGTCCTGCACACCCAACCGTCAGTTAAATGAAAAAGAGGAAACTAAATAGAGGAAGAGGCCGAATGAACAACACTTACGCGATACGACTGCCGGAGCAAGGTCTCGATGATGAGCCCGTCGCCAAGAGCCTTAGTCGACTCCACATCCTTTGGCAGAAGGACATCCTTGCACCACTTGCAAATGGAGGTGTTGCCCATCCAGATTTGGGCGTCCTCATCCACCTCGTGGCATAGCCTGATCCTCTTCGGAGTTGGCCCCTCCGTATGCTCAGCCGGCCGCTTAGAGCTCGGAGTTTCGGTAGAAGGAGGCGGCGGCTGCCGACTTGGCGATACCACGGGCGAGGGCGTGAGGTCGACCACGTTGTGAGGAGGTGGAGGAGTCGGACGAGGCGACGGCGAGGGCTGAGAAGAAGACGCGGCGGCAGCGCCGGTAGAACGTTGCGTCAAGCGACGCCTCATCTTTTCCGCTCTGTCAGTCATCTCCGGAGTCGGTGCAACGGCCTCGTCTGAGCTAGAGGAGTTGGAATCGTACGGACCTATAAGAGAAACCCACGCACTTGTGAGTATTTCCGCATGAGATAAGAAGCGAGTCGAAAAGGAGATGAAAAAGACGCTACCTATGGTGGCGGCGCCCTCCGGCAGAAGGCCATGCTTGGCCATAGCCCGGACCCGGGACCAGTACTTAACCGAGTACGGCCCAAGGCTCTTCAAGAAGTCGCCGCCCTGGACAGCATCTTCCGTAAAAACGGCCCGCCGAGAGCAAGGCTTGAAGAGAGTCGCCGGCCACAGGGTCGGAAAGGTGAAGGAAGAAGAGAGAGGTCGGACGAAGAAATACAGGGGCTTCCACTCTTTGATCGAGTCGGACAACCCCTCGAAAAGCTGCCGCTTCGGGCGAGCAGCAACTTGGATGAAGCCAGGCGAGTGGGAGCCCACCTTGTTCACGGTGAAGAGGTACCGGAACAGGTCCAAATCTGGCTCGCACTGCCACCAATGGCAGAGATTGATGAAGCTGGTGAGGAGTCGGTGAGAATTAGGCACTAACTGGCCAGGGACCAAGTTATAGTGCAGGAAGAGAAGCGAAAGAAATGGGTGTGGGGGCACTCGGAAGCCGAATGCAACCGAGTGCAAATGGATACCCACAAAACCCTCCGGCGGGTCATGAATAGGCCGGCCTTCCGCCGCAACAACCAAGGCCGAAGGGCCAAGCAGAAAGCGGGTCATGTCCAGGTCTGCCGCCGTAGCAGTTGACGGAAGACTGGACGGCCGGACAACTGAATCGAACTTGCCTCGCGGCAGTTCAACACCGTCCGGCAGAGCCGCCACCGTGGTCAGCGGGGCTGGGCTCATCGGAGTGGCTGCCCCAGAAGAGGATGGGGTGAGAAAAGAAGAAGAGGACACCGCCTGGAAGCCCGCCGGCATTTCCAGACGGCGGACAACGGAAGAGGAAGAGGAAGACGATGGCGAGGTCCCCGCCGGGTTGTCAAAGGACAAACGGCGGGAAGAAGAAGAATGAGAAGAGGAAGACATTACTTACAGGTCTCGATTGAGTTTGGGAAGACGAGGAAGACGCAGAGAAGCTTGGAAAAGTGAGGAAGAAGAATGGAAGGAAGGGGGCTTTTAAAAGGAAAAGGAAGCCCAAGAGGCTGCCACGCGGCGCCTTACTAGTGGAGGAATGGGAGGCGACAAGACATCGAAGGGACGCCGCATTTAATGCCTCGATAGGCGGGGCGACGGTTCAGGCCTAGGGCTAGCCTGCAAGCGGCGCGTCTACCCTAGGCCGAGGCTGAAGTGACGGCAACCCGGCCTGCCGGGTCAAAGGCCCATCAAAGCCAAAGCTACGGGGGGCCCACTAAGACCGTGCTAGAAGTTTCCAGAAGGTACCTAGCTGGGTCCGGCCAAGTGAAAGGCTCGGACGAGCTTCAGATCGTGAGGTCGGCCAACGGGTTCGCCGAGTCCCTTACCCAAAGGGATTAGTCGGGCAGATTCTATAAGCCAGTCATGAGAACCAAGAGTCGGCTAAAGGACCACACAAAACCGAGAACCAAAACATAAAAACGCAATTTTATTTCATAAGGACAGGGGTACAAGGCCGAGGACTCGGCCATAAACATTACACAGAAAAGACGGGCCTAGGGCTTAGCTTCCTCCTCCTCCGCGTGACGCACCGGCTGCGGACCCTCCAGGTAGTAGTGGGGACGGAAAGGCAGGGGACTCGGCTCAGGCTCGGGCTCGGGCAGTTCGTCCAGATACACGGCAGGCTTCCCATCAACAACCATCCGCAGGGGCCTCACCAGGGCACTCGGCGACATGGCCACGCCAAAAAGCGGAGGAGCCTCCCAGTCTAGGTCCTCCTCCGGCTCCGAGTCTTCTACCATGGGCTCCATCTCGTCCTCCTCCGGCTCCACAATCATCAGGTCAAGCATGTCAGGAGGCACCTCAATGGGATCAGAAGTGGAGTCGCCCGTCAAGTGCCCTCCGTTAGTCGCCCTCTTCCGCCGGAGCTCCTCCAGCCGGGCATGCTCCTTGTTGCGGATGGACCAACGACGATCACCGTACCTGAAACTCATAGCATGAAGTGATGAAATAAGAAATGGTGAGAAAACACAGAGCTACCAGGAGCCCTTATATAGAGCCTCGAGAGGGCGACAACCGAGGCGTAAATCACGGAGGGAATCGTAACTGACATACCTGAGCCGGATTAGATGGGCAGCGCGAATCTCTGTCAGAGATTAATCCCATCCAATTAGCTCGGGAAGGGTGAGATTCGCACGCTAAACTGAAAAAGCCTGTCTCGC